ATTGTGTGGAAGGTGACCTGAGGAGGGTGAGGGAGTAACTGGCAGAGCAAATTTCCTTTCTTTCTTTCTCTCTCTTTCTTTTCTTTCTTTCTTTCTTTTTTTCTTTCTTTCTTTCTTTTCTTCTTCTTCTTCTTCTTCTTCTTCTTCTTCTTCTTCTTCTTCTTCTTCTTCTTCTTCTTCTTCTTCTTCTCCTTCTTCTTCTTTCAGACAGGGTCTCACTATGTAGTTCAGGCTGGCCTTGAACTCACTTTGAAGCCCTGGCTGGCCTAGAACTCACAGTGATTCTCCCACCTCAGCCTCCTGAGTGCTGGAATTACAAGCATGTGCCACCATGTTTGTTGGCAAAGGACATTTCTGAGCACAGTCTCGGGGAAATCTCATTTTACCTGAGGTCTAATCCCTCAGAACCCAGCCCTAGAATCTTTTCTGCCTTTCTGAAAAGTTTGATCTTCTCTTAGACTTTGAGGACTCACAAGTGCAGTTTGCCAGTTTTTCCTCCTCCAGGTGCATAATAGGATTGCACTTCTTGGCTCCCTGTGGCTGGTTGGTGCAACAGTGACAATTTATGGCCCATGGATTGTGCATGGAAGATATATGCGTCACTTCTGGGCCAGAGCATTTCATTCCCACTACAAGACACTCTGTGGTTCTCTTTCTGCCAGTGATGTGGTCAGTGTTCAGCATCAGAGCTACTCTCCCAGGCGAGGAGATGGAGAGCAGACCCCACCCAGCCTCAGACAGGTGACATGAGAGGAAATATAACCTCTGCTGTTATAAAGCTTTTGTTTATATCATTTTAATTCATCAAAAATCAAAATTCCATCTGTCAGTTCCCACATGAATGCTTCTTTTGCTTTCTTCAAGATTCTGTGCCCTTTGGTTTATTTCTCTTGCTTCTTGTTGTTATGATCCTTCACACACAGGTTTCTGGGCCCAGGGATAACTTGTTGCTACCTAGATCCATCCTTTGGGCCCCTAAAATTCACTCTTTGACCACAAGACAGGCAAGACCACAGAGGCTGGAGCTGGAGAGGGTAGACTATGTGAGCGGACAGCTTCCCAGGTGGCCCCAGTGACTCCTTCTTCCTTGTTCACAGCCTTGTAGAGTTTTCTCCCACCTGGTGCCAATGTGAGGTCCACATGAGTGTGGCAGAAGTGTTGGTGTGTGGCTTTGAAGACTGAACTGTGAAGTGCTGCTATTTCATCTTGGCCATTCTGTCCCTACTGGAAAATTTGCTTGATGGGAAGTCATATCATAAGAAGCTAAAGAGAGGCCCACATGGCAAGGACTAATGCCTCCCAGCCGCAGCCCCACAGATGGAAGGTTGTGTCCTCCCATCCCAATCAGGCCTTAATGGCTACTGCTCTGGATGACCCCTTGATGGCAAGCTAGACTGAGCCCCTGAGCTTAATAGCCTTGTTAAGCCACTCCTGGATTCCTGACCCCAAACAAATGTGTGTCGTTTTAAACTACTGTTTATAATAACATACTACACAGCAATAAACACTTAATACATGGCAGGTGCTGTTGGGGAGAGTGGGTTTGGGGGTCTCTGCTTAGCCTGAGTGTGCCCCTTGTTCTGAAACAGACTTGGCCACCACAGCATAGATGGTGACCTGAAGAGTTACTAAGGGGCAGCATTTCTCCTGGGGGAAGAGAGAGCAAGAAACGATGATACAGCTTGGTGTTTATCCCATACGAATATCTGTTGTCTAGTTTCAAGAGACTTGCTCAAGCCTGTCTTGTGCCGAACAGGGAGTTCTAAGTAAGAATCGATGCCACTGTACAAAGAATGCAAAACATTGGTGCAATAGCCAGATTCTCTGAGGATGCTTTTGCTGAGTGTGACGCATAGGGAGAAGCCTGCATGACATCACTGGGGTTTCGAACAGTGCTGCAGCTAGAGCTCATGCCACTCAGGGTGGTCCTTCCATCTGCTTCCCTCCAATATATCTTTTTTTTTTTTTTGTCTTTTTTTTCATTTTTACCAGTACTGGGGATCGAACTCACGACTACCTGCTTGCAAGGCAGGTACTTACGCCGCTGAGCTAAATCTCCAGCCCCACTCCAACATATCTTAATATGTCAACCTATTTAAATAGAAAATTGAAATGATTCACAGAAAAAAATTATATTTTCATGCATTACAATCTTTGCCATGTTAATTGAGTAAATTGTTACAATATAATTTTCCTTTCAGCCAATAATGCTACCTCAAAAATGTGCCACCCAGAGCATTGCAGCCCCACTATGAGGTATGACATTGGTTCAGCTGAATGCAAGGAGTAGCCCCAGAACTGGGACCCTACAGAATAGTAGATGCCAGAGGGGGGAGGGAAGGGGGAGAGGAACAGAAGGAGAGAGAAAGAGAGAGAGAGGAAATATGCTATAAGCAGGGATACCTTGGTGAGACACACCGCAGACACTGTGGTATTAAGGGGGGACATATGTTGGTGAAACTATTCAGGCACCTTCAGTCATCCGTGTAAGACTGCAGGATTTGGGGAAAATTGGGAGTACAATAAAAATAATAGCATACACTCTTTTTCCATTTATCAAGGACTTGCTGCGGGGGTGAGAGGATGAGAGAGATATGGGTTAAAGGATACAGGATTTCAGTTAGACAGAAGGAATTCAAGAGGACTTGTCCAGCATAGTAACGACAGTTAATAATGATGTGCTGTACTCTAGCCAACTGGCTGAAAAATAGATCTGAAGTAGTCTCACCTTGAAAGATGCTAAGTCTGTGAGGTAATGGCCATGTTAGTTTGATTTAGCCATTCCACAATGTATGCCTAAATCAAGCACATGATTGTGATGGTTACTCTTAATTGTCAACTTGATTGGCTTGAGAGAAATCTAAGAGATTATTTCAGAACACTTCTGGGTGGGTCTGGGTGGCTCATGGGAATGAAACTTTAGGAACTGTATCTGGTCCCTGGCCCCTTCCTCTCTGGGTTCTTCCCCACGCTCTCTGCTATCTGGGTGCCACAAGAGGAGCCGCCGTCCTCTACTACATCTTTTTCCTCCAGGATGTTTCTGTCTCGGAGCCAGCTGACCATGAGCTGAAATAAATCTTTCCTCTTTTAAGTTGTTTGTGCCAGGCATTATGTCATAGTAATAGAAAGGTGACTAAATTCAATGGTGTATACCATAAATATGTAGGATTTTTGTCAAAAAGCTTAAGAATGTACTTTTATATGCATATTATGGATATATTACATACTATAAAATGTAAACAAGAGAAATTAAACTTTAAAAAAGCACTCACTGTATATCTGGTGGCAAAGTAAGTAGTTCGCACAAGTAAACTTCAAGCTTTGAAATAATCTACCAGGTGGATACAGTATATTTTTGTCTTACTGATGAGGAACTAGACATTGCATAACTTGCTTCTCCCAAGTTCCTTCTCCAAAGGTCAGAGCAAGGGCCACACAGGCAGGCACTCGCCACCCTGAAGTCTTGGATACAGTCCTCTGGTGCCCCCATCTGACACACAGGACCCAACAACTGCTGTGTTGTGTGCATGTGTACATTATATCTGGCGGTTTCTGAGATAGTGCCTTGGAAGGGAGCCCATGCCACTCACTGTCTGGCCTGAGGCTCTTGGCTGCAGGGCACTGACCTCCTTTTAACCACAGAGTCAGCAACTGTGCAGATAATTTATCATAACCATTAGCAGAGTGCTTTTGAGGTCAAGTATGAATCTTTTGCACTGCAGCTCTGCACAGATCTGTGCAGGAGCAAAGAGGAATCAACTTCCCAGAATCACTCTAAACATAGAAAAGGATTCTGTCACTTCAAGACTTTTAGGCAATTGTAAAAGGAGAGATGGAGAACAGTGTGAACATAGCACTAGCAGACTGTACACTTAAACATGGTTACAATTGTAAATATTATGTTATGGTTTTTTTTTTTTTACTACAATCAAATGTAGAGACCAAAAGGAAAGGGGTAGAGTCATCATAAGGTAATAAATGGGATCTGTAAGAAGGAAGTGCTGAGCTGGGAATGTAGCTCAGTAGCACAGTTCCTGCCAGGCAAGAGCAAGGCCCTGGGTTCATTCCCAGTACCAAAAAAAAGGGAAGTGCTCAGTCTAATGAGATTCAGTGTAGTCTGAGTGGGATTTGGATCATCGAGAAACAGAAATGGGTGAGCAGATGCATAGTCAGGCCAGGAAGAGCAAAAAGGCCATCCCAGAAATAACCAATAGCCAATTCTATTCTGGCCATGACAATTAAATATATACATATATATAAGTAAATAACACTCTATGGCTTAGCACAGGCTGGGTTCAGGTGTTTCAGATAATCTTGGCACCTTTACAGAATCATGGGTCACAAGGGCTCTTCAGGAGACATGAGGGACTGGACCAGCCAGCTTTACAGTTAGCATTCCTGGGCTATGTAGAAGTCCCAGAAAAACTGTGCCCTGTTCCTGTCTGTCTGGGCTCCACTTTAGACCTACAGCCAAGCACAGAGAGCCAGCAGGCAGGATCAGCCCAGGATCTGGCGCTCTCGTGGGAAGATCCAGCATCCTCCTGGTGGATCTGAGGTGCAGGCTCCCCGGTTCTTAGAGAAGGACCTTGCAGGTGACAAGGTAAGTAAAATATCTAGGAAGCAGTCTGAGCATCTTGGCTTCTTCTGAAAGCTAGAAGGCCTTGAAGGCTGGGGTGTGACCTTGTGAGGGTGAAGCCTGAGAAGCATCTTATTTTTCAGAATTTTATTACAGTCTTTATTCCTTTCCAAAGTGTCTTTTCTCTCTGGACCACTTGCCTAATCCCAGGCCAGGGAGGACCCCATGCTTTGACCACGTCACCCAACCCCAGAATTTAAAAGAAGCCCCTATGGTATTTCATGGGGAGTGCAAACAGCCCTGCCTCATTCCCTTTACCCCTTGATTTAGGGTGAACAGTCTTTTCCCCTGATTTATGATAGAAATCTCTAGAAAAACAAATTTCACAAGTCATAATACTGCAAAAACTTTAGAGATAGTCTAGTTTGTTCATTCATTTAATTTTATTGTTTTAAAAATCTAATATTGAAATCAGGAAGGCAGACATTGTGGGTTGCTGATTTAGGAGCTGCTGTAGAGTCTTGTTCTGTCCATTTCTCCATGTGCCTTGGAGCCCCGACTTCTTTTTGCCCTGAAAATCCATTATTGTGGCTTTGTGACTTTGCACTTTTGGCCAAGGGTTCTTAAACTGCAGTTTGTCTTTGTCTGTGATCTCCAGATTCTTGCTAGATTCCTTTCTCTGGAAATGTTTCAGATAAATCACAGTTAGTCACACCCACACTGCACCTCTCCCCAAAATACCAGCATGAAGCAGAGTGAGAGAGGCCTCCAGAGAGCATCCAGGAAGCCCTTGTATTATAGATGGGAAAACAAAACCCCTGAGAGGACAAGGGACTTGCCCAAGGTCATGGTTTGAGTCAGGACCAGAAGTCAGCTTTTTGGCTTCCCAAGGGCCCCAGTGCTCTGCATGTTGGGTTTGGGCCCTTTCCTTCATGCTGTCTGAGCTTTAAAGGAGCATCTCTTTGGCCCCCACCTTTCAGGAACCACCCCAAAAGAGGTAGACTGGTAGCTCAGCCCAGTCAAGTGTCTACTGGGGGTGGGAATAGGAAGACAAGCAGTCAAGGCCTGAGAGAAGAAAGCTGGCCCACAAGGTGTGGAGACAACTGCCAGTGGCCCTCTTGGTGATCCTTCAATTCAGTGACTTCTGTAAATAGCAGTTTGACAGTGGACTCTCTGAGCTCTGTGAATTGTGGATAAAGTTCATGCTGAACTTGAACTCCGTAATGTGTTTGTTCATGGCCATCGGAACTTCCGCTCACTCCATCTAACTGTCTTCTGGCCAGAGGATGTTTTGTTTTTGTGGTCTCGTGGTAATGTTTTTCTCATCAGCAGGGGCCAATTCCTGCCTGAGTCTGACGAAGGCCACCGGCTGTGTGCCATGGTGAGTTCTGCAGGGAAGAAGATAATCATGCTGCCTTACAAAGCTCTTTTCCAGGCACTGCTTACTTGATCCTCAGTGAAGCCCTGGGTGTCAGCAAGGAAGTCCTTATTAGTCTTTTGTTTGTAGAAGACGCTGTGGCCCAGAGGGATGAGGTATTACTCCAAGGTCACGTGGTTAGCAAGTTATTGAGATAGAGAAACAGAGCTCAGACGCTACTTATGTGCATATGGAACTTGAGCTCTACTTGACTGCTCTTCCTGTTTCCCTTGCTTTAAAAATTATGAATCTAGTACATCCCTCAGTGGGGTTCTGGGAGAGTAAATGAGTCAGTTATGAAAAGTACTTAACCGTGTACCTCTAAGGCACTAAGTACTCGGTTATGTTAGAAAACGTTGTTATTATTATCAAGTCTGGTTCTGCTATGAGATGGGACAAATCTCTCCTGATCTGGGATGTGGATTCTAGGAAAACCAAATTTCAAAAGTCATAATACTGAAAAAGCATTAGAGATAATTTAGTTTGTCCACTCATTTAATTTTATTATTTTAAAAAGTCTGATATTTAAAGATAGTCATACATAGTTATCCTTGTGATTCATGATAACTAGGCATACAAGGTTAGTGATCTACATAAGCAGTTGAATTTTTGTATTTTATAATGAAAACCAAGTATTTTTCTTTTATTGATGTTCTCTTGTTTATAATAGACATTGATGTCATCACATTTCTCCATTATACGCACCATTTAATCCTGATCACATGCACTGACAATGACTCACATTAAGAGACAAAAATAGGAAAAAACAGTGTTACTCAACATTTGGGAAACGGGAGGGAGTGTACAAATGCTGATTTCCGTATCTTTCCTGGCAGCAATCGCCAATTAATAGTACCTCAAATTGAATCATGTTAAAATGAAAAGCACTCTCGTCTCTTAATACTTTCCATAATATATTTTCTTAAACTTAGAGGTATTTTTGAGAAATATCTCTTGTGGAGAATAAGCAACGTTAAGCAATTCCACTAGATTTTACCTTAGTATTTTTGATTTCTATTACATTCAAGGAAAATTAAATTTCATACCTTGTATAAAATATTATCTGAATTATGATCCTTTTATAAGCCATTCATCCACTCATCTACTCTCTCTTCTTAGTTACTTACCTACCTATCCTGCTATTTATGCAAATAAAGATATCTGCACGATATTCTTTTGTGTCATCTGTGGTTTCTTTGGGCTATGGTGTTTTGAAGATTAAAGGAATTTCTTTGTGTTCTTAAATATTGTTTGAGTTCTTTAGAGTAAGTATTTACCAGTCGTGTAAAAATAAAATATCTTAAAGTTAGAGGTTTTCTTGCTCTTACCCCATGGCCGTCAGGACCAGGGCTTTCAGGTTCCTCCAATTCTCTAATACTCACAACGATTCTGTTCCAAGTCCCTGCTCTCAAACTTACCTCAGGGTTAGTGCTGGAGAACTTGAGCGGCAGACTGCTGATGGTCTGCAGGTGGCATATGACTGAGGGGTAGACAAAAGATGGCTAGAGGACAGAGACAGGGAAAGAACACTCAGTCCCTGGCATTTCTCATCTTGCATACGAAATCAAGTCTCGAGAGAAAGGATGATTTGTTCAGAATCTGCCAGCCTGCCACATGCATCAAAGCTAATCAATTGTCCTTCCAAAAACCATCAGTCTTGTTCTCCAAACCATATCCTAAGTTTTAATATGGAAAAAGTAGCAGAAGGGGAATCCAGGGCATAGGAAAGAGATTGGTCCAAAATCTTTCTCTTTTCAGCAGCTAATCATGCTTTCCTGTTAAGTCCGCTTGAATCAGCACCTTCAGAGATAACAAGAGTCTCTGGAGGCATCTCTATCCATATCTCTATCTCTATCTCTATCTCTATCTCTATCTCTATCTCTCTCTATCTCTATCTCTATCTCTATCTCTATCTCTATCTCTATCTCTATCTCCATATCTATTTCACAGGCTGTTGAGAACCTGTGCATAGGAGTGGGAAGATTGGATGTCTGTTTTTGAGTGAAGGGGGAAAAGATTCAAAAGGCTCTACAAGCTAATTCTTATATTCAGTACTCTAGCTGGGAACGTGGCCTGTTTACCTAAACTGTCATCGTATTTTATATTTTTCTGAAGATGACATGGTGGGAGGGGTGTAGAAGGGACACTTTGACTACTCTTGAGGGCAAGTAAGTCCCTGTCCAACTCCAGGAAATTGTCAGCACCTCCCTGGTGGACAGCTCCACAAAATCCACTGGAATCTTCCCATCTCAGTGGGGCCACTGGGCCACTGGTGTTCTGTGAATTCTCTTTCTCTCTTCCTCCCTCCTTCTCTCCCTCTCTCTGCCTCTCTCCTTCCCTCTTCATTTTGATGTAAGGCGCTTCAATTCAAGAGGTGATATTCTTTAAGATACATGATGATGAAAAGAAGTATTGTTAGCCTACATAAAGGGTTCCTTTGGCCAAGTATAAAAGCCGGGGTGATTGAGTTAGAAACAGTTCCATGATGTTTGTGTCATAGCTTAGGAATCTGTTGTAACAGAATTTTTAAAATCAAACCAACATCAAGGACACATCATCTTACAAAATTATTTTGGGCTATTTCCCAGTGTTAACGCAATATGGGAGAGGTTAGTTGGACATTGAAATCTTAGAATTCCAAATATATTTTAATTATTTAAGGCTAAAGTTCAGAATATTTGAAATCTGGACTGTCCCAGAAAGTCCAGAATTGTGATCATCATGCCCATAACTAGCAGTCTAGAATGACTAATGTAGAAGAGAGAAATCTAAGACAAAATGTTAAGTCCTGGCATTGCAAACATCCTGGGGACAAAAGTATTTGGCATGCACAGAGGTTCTCCACTAACAGTAAGCAGAAAGTTTTGAAAGCGTGTGAAGCCATCTATCACTTCCCTTAATTGAAGTGGAACACTGCCACCTAGGCCTGAAAGGTATCAGCTCTGGTAGGTGAGGCTGGTTGCCTTCCATTAGGTGCGTTATGAAGCAGCCTTTCCCTTGAGACGTCTCCTTGGTCAGAGCCTGGTTCTCAGCCTGGTAGGCTGGGAAATTTAATATTGTCAACTTAAGTGGCTTTGTCTCGCAGATCAGGGCTTCACTGTCTAAGTTCATGAGGGCTTGTGTGAACTACTTGTCAGGTGTTAATTGGCAATGAGACACAGAACAGTTTGTGGACTGGACATTTGCTGCCTGTAGGCAATATCCTCTCCTTTTCTGTAGGAGAAATAGGTTGTTAAATGTAGTGTATTTGATTGTGGTTCTATTCCTGACCTCAGGAATATTTTTATAGGTCCCTAGTTTTTAATTTCTAATATGGAAGCTTTAATAGCTTACTATTTAGAATCATGTGATGATTATTTTCATCACATGTGCTTAAAGGAAACAGGGCTAGGGAGGAGAGGGAAGCAATAACTGGAAGAGGAGGAACTTTTGAAAACAAGATATTTGATGTGTTCTCAATTTTTTTATGATTGCTGATTCTTGAGTTCCTCTGGAATAGAAAAATGTACAAGCCTAGCCAAGACCATTTTAAAAAAAAAATGGTGAAGAATTTGCCCTATTAGAGACCAAAATATACTATGAAGCTCTGTAATTAAAATATTGCGGGATTGGCACAGGAATAGACAAATAGAGCAGAGTCCAGAAACAGGTTCATTTGTACGTGGAGACTTAGTATGTGATGGGTCTGATTTTTCAATGTGAACCTATGGGGAAGGGAATAAAAGTGAATTATATAATATGCTATGTGATATCTATCAGGGAAAGAATTAAGTTGAAATTCCTTTTCCATACATACACAATATAAATTTTCATGTGGATTCTGAAAGTGATTTCAAAGAACAAATTAAAAGTTTTGGAAATTTAGTTGTTCCCCTACCCACAGGGCATACATTTCATTCTGTGGGTGCCTGAAATGGTGAATCATACTTAACCTCATATAAACTGTTTTTTCCCGTATATGCATTTTTTTTTTTTCTTTTTCGTTTTTTACCGGTACCAGGGATTGATCTCACGACTGCCTGCTTGCAAGGCAGGCGCTTATGCCGCTGTGCTAAACCCCCAGCCCCTCCGTATATGCATTTCTATAAAACAGATTATAAATTAGGCACAGTAAGAGAACAACAATACTCAAGTATTGTTATAATAATCGAAACGTGCTATAGTAAAAGTTGAAGAAAGACATATGAGTTGTTTACTTTTAGAATTTTCTACTGATATTTTGGTAATGGAGTTCACCACAAGTAACTGACACCGTGGGAAGTGTCACATACGATGGACGCTACTGCCCAGAAAAGTGTTTTTTCGATTTTGCGGTGGGGAGGACCTTTCTAAGCAGCACACTAATGTTTAGAAGTAACTCTAAGGAGAAGGCTGGTAGGTTTGACTACATAACTTTAAAAACCTTTATGCAAGTTACGACACCATAATTGTGTTATGTCACACACACACAAAACTCTGAGTCTCTATCTCTAGCTATGGTTTTCATATTTTTCTCTATCTCTCCTCTATCTCCAGGCCCTGTCTGCGCCTTTCCCTCTTTCTCCTTTCCTCTTGTCTCTTCTCTTTTCTTCCCTTCCCTTCCCTTCCTTTCTTTTTCCTCTTCCTCTCTCCTTCCCTCCTCTCCTACTCTTTCCTTCTCTTCCTCCTTTTTTCCTCTCTCTCTGTTTCGTTATCTCTCTTTCCCCCTCCCTCTCCCTCTCTCTCAACCTCTCTTTCCCTCTTTCATGTCTTATGTGGTGCAGGGGACGAAACTCTGGGCCTTTGCACTAAACTACCCCAGTCCTTCATTTATTTATGCACTTGAGACAGGGTCTCTTTAGCTTGCTAAGTTATAGCAGCTGGCTGGAACTTGCCATCCTCCTGCCTCTGCCTTCTGGAGTGCTGGCATTATGGTGTATGCCACCATTCCTGGCATATACCATAGGACTTCACTGTCTAAGTTCATGAGGGCTTGTGTGAACGACTTGTCAGTGTTACTTGGCAATGAGAGACAGATTGTTTCCCTTTTGTCTGAATCTCTGCTCCTTCCTCTCTGAGTACCTCTGGGTTTGCCTGCACCCTTACCTCCGTCCCCACCTCCACCCTTGTCTCTGTCCCCTTCCCTTAGGCTTTGTCTCAGGCTGTTTCTCAGTGTTGGCAGACATGTTCTTGACAATAAACAGAGTTTTAGCCCTAGATTGAGGAGGCAAAGGGGAAAGAAGAAGAGAAGGCAAAAGGCAGAGTGAGGGGAGAGATTTGCAAAACATCAAAATATGAAATATATGTATCAACTATAAACCCATAAAACAAGTGAAGCTACCTTTAAAATCTGGGTACAGGATACGCACAGATGAGCCACAGCTGGGAAATGTAAGTGGCTGAGGGGGCACTGGTGCCTGTCTCAGATCCCCTTTTTCAGCTTAGTGTTTGTTCTTCAGAGCCCTGCCTGCACAGCTCAGGGCTCTCAGGTGGATCTATTCTGAGGAACTGTCCTTTATTTAGAACAAAAGGAAATTCTGTTCTTGGGAACTTCTTTTCATTCCTGAGGGAGAAGTCATGCAGACATCTGAAATACACTAAAATTGTGTCATTTGTACATAAAAATAAAAAGATCTTCAGAGCTGCTACCACAACGGGGTTAATTTTCTCTCTTAAATTTAAATTAAAATGCTTAAGTTTCCTCAATCTTTTAAAACAATTCCTCTCCACACAAAAACAGTGACCAATTTAACTTCTATGTCAGTAGATTACATTTTACTGTCCTCAGACCTTTTTGGTAATTGTTTTTAGTCAGCAGATTCCTGAACAATCTGTTTTGTGCTTCCTTTCCTCCCTGAAGGAGATCTCCTCCCTAACCAGGTCATCTCGGACTGGATCGTCCTTTAGCTCCAAGGGCTGGGAAGAGGCATCCACTGTGACTGTCCTCAGAACACAGAGACTGCCTTTGGCCTGGTGGGAGCAGCATCACAGTTCTGTGCACTGTGAGTTGGACAAATGTCCCTGACAACAGCAGCTAGGGTTGTAATTGTTCCCACGCTGGCTCTACAAATCCACATGCTCATATTTCCAGCACTGAATCGTTTATCACCCCATAGTAGCTTTGGCTGGGCAGCTGGAAGTTCCCTTTGCCTCCCTCATGATACCCTGTTTCTCTGTTGTCCTCCTTGGCCTCTTGGGGATCCTCATTCCATTCTCTATGATAGCGTCCTGTCTTGAAGTCTTCAAGTCTTAGACGTCTTTTTAGAAGAGTTGGAGAGAACCAGCCATGAAACAAGTCATTCTCTTGCTAATACTACTTGTTCTCCATAGCCTGGAGATTTTATGTGACCTCTTGTCACTTCTGACCACTAGAGAGGCGACTTCACACGGGTGCTGGGGTTGTGTGTAAGAGAGAAGTGGATGAATGGGAAAGAAAACCTCATCCTGCTGCCACAGCTCCTTTCCCAGGTGGTGGGCTTTGGGGGCAGGGAAATATGCTGGTGGTTCCTGATGTCACACCATGTACAGGGTCTGTGGCTAGCGCTGGAGGGGACCTCACCAACATTCTTGAAGCCCTGTTTCCTCCACACATGCAGTCCTCCTGGCCCTGCCCCACTGTGGCTAGTATGATTCATTTTATTGATTCACTTAGCCACACTGGCAGCTCTGTTCACTGTCCTGTGCCAGGGCCCTCGCTGGGCACCACGCTACAAGGTGCTGCTTCTCACTTTGTGAGCTTCCATGCTCTTCTCCAACAACCGCAGTGCTCTGCAGTCTGCTCATGTTAGGTTAGGGATGGAGAGGGGTATGGGGAGAGTGCAGGGGAAGGGCCTTGATCCAGACTGGGGAGCTGGGAAAAACTTGAGGTCTTTCTCCAAGCTGTTAAATTCCTGGCCAGAGCTAGGGAGAGGGTGACAGGAGTCTGCAGAGAGGGAGTTGACCGGCAGTGGGGCCAAAAAAAAAAAAAAGAAGCCAGAAAAAAATTTGGCTATTTTCATCACCCTTTGGCCAGGAAAGGGAGTGAGAAGCCTCAAATGTAGCGTTGACACTGTTTTTCTTTCTTCTGGAGAACTGCCACGTGCCGCTACAGAGAGCATTTCACGGGTAGATGCATATTATTGCAATGTGTTTATCTAGGAAACCAGAGCCCAGCTCCAGCATCTGGTTTTCAGTACAATCCTGAATGAAGTCCAATTTTCCAGTTGGGTTAATAAAAATAAAACCTGGGAAGTTGTGGGCTGGCTGCATCGGGGGTTGAGTCCTGGCCTCATGCGAGGTCATGGACTGTAGAGCCGGAAGGGCTCGGGCAGGTCATGGATTCAATGTGGACAACCTCACACGGGGAGGAGCTGCAGGGCAGCTCAGAGGAACACGCTTCAGAGGGATTGGTGCCCTTGGGTTTTCTTCTCTGAACCCGATGCCAGTTGATGGAGTACCTACCATGTCCTGAGTACTGGGCTGGGGCATGGGACAGGGTGAGATACAGATGTGGACCTGAGCTGAGCCTTCATGGACAAGCAAGGCCTGCACTGAACAATGCTCAGGACCATGACAACTGGTCAGCACTCATCACCTTGAAGCGGAACTAGAAGTCCCCAGGCTCCGTGTGCCTCTCCTGCCTCCCAGTCTTGCATCCTGGCTTCATTACCTCCCTTATGCAGAATGCACTTCTCTGCTCTCGAATAGCATGGTAGAAAACAAGATTGTCCCACAGACCTCGATTCACATGAGGTTTTTTCTTTCTTGCCTTTCTTCCTCCAGCCAAAGTTCCTTGGGCAAAGGTATTAACTGACTCTGGTGATGACAGGCTCATTTCTGGTAAAAGTGACAATGGTGGTGGTGGAGAGGAGATGGTCAGAGTCACATATGCAAATGTGGCCAAGGAGAATCACTCTCTGGGGTCCCATACCTGGGGTTCTTTCTCATTCATGGAAAGTATTCAATATCAAAACGTAAATCACAGCTTCTTTTTGTCCTGATTCTACTTTTGTGAGGAGGCTAGTGCAGGGAGGCCACTTTGTTATGTTAAGACTCCTGGCTTCCAGTCCAGTGCTCTGTCCACTACACCCTGTTCCTCTGGTCCTGATATGAAGCCAGAGGTTGTGAAACAGCTTGTGCCTATGACTTCCCCTGGGAGCAGTGTTGATGAAAGAGAACTGTGTTGGCTGGTCTTGGAAGAAACTGGGAACCAAATGCCAGTGGTGTGGCTAGCTGTGGCCCTTGGGGGGAGCTGTCAGAAGACATATATCATAGGTTCTGAGCAGGCAGAGTGACCTCCCATGGGGTGCATGATCCCGGGAGAGGGATGTGCCTGCCCTTGCTCCATTCTTCTTTACTCGGAGGCTGCTTCTTCAGACAGTGAGGGAAAGGTCGGTGTAGCAGGAGGATGTCCTCTCTCCTGACTCCCACCGTAAACTAAGGAAAGTCAGAGCCACACAAAGTCAGCGGTGATCAAGGAAGAGAGATTTTTTTTCTTCCTGATGCTAGTGACAAGGATTCCCAAGCCGGGCCAGAGAGTTTACCATCATTACTGCCTGCTGGCCTGACTGTCTTTCACACTGGTGCTAACCACAGGCACTTTCCGAACAGTTCATTGGCTCATTCTGTAGCTGGGTTGGAATTCATGGGTCAGGCTTAGTGAGAAAGTTTTCTCTATTTTCTCTTGCGCCTTTCCTTGGCTGTAGATACTTCTTCAAACTCATAGGCATGAACTAAGCTGTCTGTCCTACTTATCCATGCCCAGGGGGCTTAACCTCTTTTTCTTGATCTCCCTTCTGTGGGTTTCAAGGGCCACAGAGGGAGGCCACAGGCATTAACCTGTCTCCTAGGTAATATGTGTCCTCATGTACTAATAAAGGATGTTCACAGTGCAAATCAAGTCTTTCACATATATATATATATATATATATATATATATATATATATATACCAGAGCACTGTAGTTAATCTTGCTTCATTAACATGGAATTAACCTGAGTCCAAACAGCTCTGATCCCAGTGAGAAAGAGAAAATGTTCACCAGGACCTTTAAGTTTTGTGTTTTTTGTGTTTTTCTAATTTATTTGGTTTTAATTCTCTCATGATGCAGGTAGGTGTGTCCTCAACACACTCAAAGAAAGGCTACCCTAATGTTTTCCTTGAGAACAAAGACTTCATGATAACTAGACTAGAGATCAACTATTACATTACAGTGAAAATATTTATATTTTGCCCATGTCCTGAAGCTTTGTGGGAAACTGAGATTAATGGTGGCGAACTAATTGATATGATGGAGGACATTTCAAGATAGCTCAAAATTCAGCCTGTGGCATGGGCACTGATACCTACTTTTGGGCAGGTTTATAGTGAGGATTGGGGACAAAAAGCAGAAAAGAAGGCTCTAAAACTAAAAATTTGACCCGAATGGGATCAGATATAAATTTTGGGTGAAAGGATGTGTAGTAACTAAAGAGATTAGTGCCATTAAACAGAAACCAAGTATTTTGTACAAAGAAAACAATAAAGATGCTTTGAGTGTATGTCAGAAATCAGCAAGACTCCACATACTGCAGGCCCAAGGCTGCAAAAATGTAGATCTTTTACTTGAGAAGAGAATTCCTGGGATCCTTGCTTAAGATAGGTTGCCTAGGGAATTGCTTTCCTGGGACTCATTCTACTAATCTCAGTCATCCAGACACCCACAGGCTACAACAGCCATGATCCACAAGGGCCTACCTACTGCTCCAGTTAGTGGAAGACCTTGGAGTTGTCCATACTTTTTTTAAGCATGTAAAGTGCAAGCGTTGTGGGGTCATGGAGGCTTCCACCAAGATTTTAAAGGAAGGCCTGAAAGCCAGGCAAGAAAGCCTAAGAGGGCAGTACTGGAAGATGTAGTACTGAGAAGATGAAATGGAGACCTCAGAGATATCATAAATGTGGCACTTTCATTGAAGAAAACTGCAAGCTGAGTGGAGCCCAGACCAAATGAGAGGCTGCGTGGGCTGCAATAAGCAAGTCTGTGCATGTTAGGCTGCCCAAGTCTGTTGGAATGTGCATCTTGCTGTAGTATGCCTGGATGGCAGATATGGAGTGTCTTGGTTACTTTTTACTTTGTTGCTGAGACAAAATAAAGGTTCTGAAGCCCAACCTGGGGAAAGGAAAGGTTTATTTCTTACAGTTTTTGGAGGTTTCAGTCCACACTCAGTTGGCTCCAAGGCAGGCAGGCATGGCTGGGCCGCAGTTCATGGCTGTTGCAAACAGCAAGCCGGAACCAGCAAAGAGCAAGACACATCTTCTTTCTGCCATTACATCACATCCTGGCTCCACCCCTTTAAGGGTGGAGCACTGACACCATCAATCCAAGCACTAGACAATGAATGAATAACAAACGCACAATCAAACTTATGAGGCCTGGGGGACACAGACATAAACCATGACATGGAGCTACAGGGCCTGATGATTGCCCTCCTGGGTTTTTATTCTCTTTCCAGTTCAATCCTATCCTATATACTATTCTTCCCTTTTGGGATGAGAATGTTTACCCTTTGCCCTTTCATCTTGGAATTATGTAATTTGTTTTTTATTGTTTTAGGGGTTCACAGCTAAAAATTTGCTTTGAGTTTCAAAGAAAACTTTTTAGCAATAACAGAATGGTTAAGACTTTGGGGGACGGATTATTGTGCTTCACTTGAATTAGGATAGTTGTATCATGGTTAGACACAATTATTAACTTGTGTTTATTTGGGAATTAAGTATGACTTATGGAGTATGTGATAAGGGTTGGGTTGTGGTGGTTATGATGGCTAATCTGAGTGGATTAGTAAAGGACACTTTTGGCTGTGTCTGTGTGGGCATGCAGTGTGACTTAGGTTGATATCTAGTCTCTCATCTCTTCTTCTTTGGTGTTCTTCCCTTGCTCTGCTTCCTGGCTGTCATGAACTGAGCAGCTTTGTTACACTATGCCCCTTTGCCATGATGTTCTTGTTTTGGAGCCATCTAACCATGAACTGAATCTTCCAAAACTGTGAACCAGATAAACCATTTCCTTTTTGTTGTTGTTGGTACTGGGGATCAAACTCATGACCTCGTGTTTGCTAAGCAGGCACTTATATCACTGAGCTAGGCCCCTGGCCCCATTTCCTCCTTTAAATTGTGGATGTCAAGTAATTTGTTCCAGTAATGAGGAAGCTGACTAGTACAGTCTTTGTTTTTGAATTTGGGTCTAAACAGTCCAGTAGGTATAATGTATGTTCTAATCAGTTCTAATTCCTCAAATATTTTTTCTACTGCTTTTTAACAAAGATTGAAATTCATCCATCTGTCATCCACCATCCAGCCATCCATCCAATTCTCTGGCAGGTATTGTGCTGGACAGTGGGAATACAGTGTGAGAAGTGGTTTCTCAAAGAACCTGACTGCCTCCCAAGAGCAACTGATGTGCCTACCTCCAGGCTAAGATTATTCTTACAGTAAAGACAGACATATAGTGGGGAGAATGGCAATCAACACGGAAATATGTAATTAATTGTTACAAATGTGTTGACTGACTAAATGCTACATGAGAAATAAAACATATGGAGAAACTAGGAGAGGACCTACCTTGAAAGGGCATCAGGCATATGTTTATAGAAGAAATGATGTTTGTGCTGAGATCTGAAGGATGCGGTAGAGGAACAACAAAATCTTAAGGTCCTGAGATAGGAAAGAAAATGTGGTTTTGAAACAGAGAGAAGCTCAGTGTGGCTGAATTATAGTGAGAAAGTGATGTGAAGTGAGACCAGAGAGGCACGCAGGAGAACTACTGAACAGCTTTTTGACCCCAGTGAGGGAGCTGTGAAGGAAGGGAGGGGCTAAGGCACAAATAGAGATCATCTGATTTCAGAAACTGACCTAGCTGCCAGGGGGAAAGTAGATGGAAGGGCCCACCGGCAAGCAAGGGAAGCAACCCAGAACTGTTGCAGCCAGCTGAGAGGTGATGGTGGCGTGGTTCAAGGTGATGGTACTGCAGACCTATTTTGGATGTCCAGTAGGAAGATGGCAGGTGGGCAAGAAGCCTTCTCAGCTGAGTCCCGTGCTTCAGGCTTGAGGATGTGGGTGAACAGCAGCGTCTCCATCTGCAATGGAGATGGCAAATGGTGAAGCTTGGGAGTTTCAGGAGGACTTTTGGAGCTCATGTTGGGTATGATAAATCTGAGATCTCCACGAGCCATCGAGTATAACAAGCAGACACTGGGTAGTTGAGACTGCTACTCAGAAGAGGGTTGGGCTCTGTCAGCTCATGGTCCCTTATCAAGTCCCTGGGAACTTTGCACTGGAGCTGAATCTTTCACGGGGCTTCAGTGAAGAGCTTGGATTTGGATCCCAGGACTTCCTTCTAACAGGAGAGACTATGCAGGTCAGGACTGCGTGCATTTAGAGGCTCAGTTGAGGCAAAGAAATTTCTTTTTTCCACAGGGACAGTCCTTTCAGAGTATTGTTCTAAATTCCATTGATTATTTCTTGCTTTGTCCTGGAAACAGCTACTCTTTATGTAAGCGCGCTGAAAAAGTGAGAAATCATGGAAAAATGCTTTTGGTTTTGGCTGCAGCAGAGGCAGAGAGGGCACATCTTGCTCTGTGGTGTAGAGGCGGGGCCTTGGGCATGTCACAGGCCAGGCAGCCGGGAAGTGGATGCAGGTGGTCGCTGAGTCACTGGACAGCTCTTTGCTCTGGAGAACCCGGGCAGAGCTGTGTGCTGCAACGGGAGGGGCACGGGTCCTATCTGATGCTCCAGGAAGCAAGTGAAAATTGGAAAAGGAGGGAGACGTCATTTCTGTGGGGCAGGAGAACACAGCGTGCCTCTCTGGCTTCCAGCAGGAATATTTCTTGCAGAAAGCTCTGAACTCTTGCTAGCACTGAGCTGCTGGGACAGAAAACTGTGACTCAACCACAGCGGAAAACACCCCCCCTTCCAAGGTTCCTGCTGTAATCATTCTTGGCTTTAGAGGACATATTTGGGGAAGCAAACTTCTTTCTGATTAGCTTCTTGTCTCTCTGCTCACTATACACAGAGATTCCTGAGCTCTTCCTCCTCCTCTTCCTTCTTCTCTTCCTCTTCCTCCTCATTTTCCTGTGGTATTGGAGACTGAGCCCAGGGCTTTTACACTGAGCTACATTCCCAGCTCTTTTTTCAGTTTTTGTTTTGATATAGGGTCTCCCTAAGCTGCTAAACTGCCCAGACTGGGCTTGAACTTGTGATACTCCTTCCTCAGAGTTCTGGGATTGCCAGCATGCACTGCCATGCTGGGCTCTGGGCTACTTCTTCAGGACAAAGGGCCCCTGTCCTTCTGCCCTGGCTGTACTCCTGACGTCTGTGCTGTGTTTCTCTCTGTCTCGCTCCTTGTCTGTCTTTGTGTTTCTCTTTGCTTGCTTGCACCTTCTCCTACTGACCTGATGGAGTGCGTGGTGAGCAGAGGATGACAGCGCGGAATGTGGTGGCAGAGGTGGAGTGAAGCAAGCAAGACCCCCATGAACCTCACGTGCACGGACTCGGAGAGCCTCTACAGAGCCACAAGATTTAAGCATTTGGGGCAGGGTGGAGGTCAACACACCTGGCAGCTCGGGGAAGGGGAGCAGCAGACCCTGCTGGGGAAGGGAAGCAGCAGACCCTGGGCACGCTTGCTAGAAGACTGTGTTCAACCCAGTTGCTAAGATTGCAATGAAAAAAGATTGGTGGGAGCAAGGTTGAAAGCATGCAGGTCAGCTTGCAGGATTCTAGTCAAAGTGTGGCCTATGATGGTCTCCCTCTGTCCACTGCTCTCTTCTCCTTCTCAGATGCTTCACCTTGAAGTTAAAATCAGCTCCTCTTGGAGGAGAACGAGACAATGCTGTTGAGGGGCAAGGCAGGGTCAGTCCAGCATCTCTGAACAAAGCATGGCATGTAAGCACTGGGCAGTGAAAACCACCTTGTTCTCTTTTCTCCCTCTCTTGTCATATGTGTATGTGAATGCGTGTGCATGTGTGTGTGTGTTTGTGGTGTATTTGTTGCTGGGTATTGGTTGTAGGACCTTACACACTTCTACCACCGATTTCTATCTCCAGCCTCAGAGTCTTGGGGAATTTGGACGCCTCCAGTGACTTCCAATCTTCAGCAGGGTAAAACCCCAAGTTCTTATCACGGATATAAAACTCTGTGCTTGACCTCCCTCTACTTCCACTATTCTTGCCCATCTTTATTCCATTCTGGCCACATTGGCCTGGGGCTGCTCCTCCAGTTCGGCAGAGTCCTTTGCCTCAGGGCCTCTGCTGTCACTGTGCCCCCCAGTGGGGACCTTTTATGGCACAGGGCTGCCCCGCTGGCTCCTGCTCCTTCACCAGGCCTTTCAGATGCCAAAGCAACAGAGGCCTTCTGTGCACATCCTGGTCAATTCCACAGCACTGCCAAGGGGCCATGTGCTCCCCTTCCCCTTGCCGCACTGAGGTTTTCTTCATTTTGTTTTTCACCTTGAAACAAGCGCGTCCATCTGTCTATGACCTCTTTCCTGCGTGGAAAGGACTGCTTGCTGTGCATTCCCAGCGCCTGGAAGAATGTCTGGCTCATGCAGGCATTCAATAAATATTTGTGGAGTGAGCAACCGAGTTTCTAAATCCGATGAGTAGAGGTTTTTGGTGACTTCTTAGCAATGATATGTAATCTTCAGAATGAATGTTTGTCACACTTATCAACATTTTCTCTAAATTAAACCCATTTTCTAATAATATTGTTTCAACAGGGCAGGGACCCCTCAGGGTTGGGCCATGAGCCAGGATGTTCCTGGAAGAATCAGAGTGGGATGTTTGAGCTTGTGCCCTAGGCCTCCGTGTCTGAGAAGAGAGTCCAGTGCTCTGGGAACTGCAGAAGTGACCCCTCCTGCCTTGTTTCCCCTGGGTGGAAGCCTAGCTGTGCCCTCTGTGGATGAAGGTGAGGAAGGGGTATATCAGTCAGCATATTACATCAGAGAAATAGAACCACTATCTGTCTCCCTGCCTTCCATCTACCCATCCATCCATTATCTATCTATCTATCTATCTATCTATCTATCTATCTATCTATTAAGAGACATAAAGACAGACAGTCTTTTTTTTTTAATTAGGGAAATGGGGGCTAGAGATATAGTTCAATGGCACAATGCCTGCCTGGTAAGTGCAAGGTCATAGGTTCAATTCCCGGTACCAAGACAAAAAAACCCCACCAAAAAATAATTAGAAAAGTGGCTTATGTGATTGTGGGGATTGACCAAGTCTGAAATTTGTGCTGGAAAGCCGAGTATTTCTGTACTATAATTTTGAGGTCAATTTCTTTGTACTCAATGAAATATCAGTCTGAATTTTTATTTTTCTTTTTTTCTTCCTTTTTCTTCTTTTGTCTTTCTTTCTTTTAATATCTTTTTTGGTAGATATGATCTTCCTATGTAGTTCAAGTTAGTCTTGAATTTGGGGTCCTCCTGTCTCAGCTTCCTGAGTACTGGGATTACAAACTTGTACCACCATGCTCAGTTTCAGTTTTTGCTCTTAAAACCTTCAGTTGACAAGATGAGGCCTATCACATTATGAAGAGTCATCTGCTTTATTTGAAGTCGATTGATTCCAATGTTAATCATGTTTAGAAAAATATCGTCAAGATGGGGGTACAGCCCAATGGTAAAACACTTGCCTAGTATGAGTGAAGGCCTGGGTTTGATCCCCAGGACTGCAAAATGCTAAAAACCAAAAACCATAACCAGTCAACCAACCAACCCAACAGAAGAAATCTCCCCAACAACATGTAGACCGGTGTGTTTGAGTGAACAACTGGGTATCACGCCCTGGCACACGGAATGAGCCATCCCTGGGCCCAACCTGCAGTGACACTCACCAGTGGGCAGTCCTGTAGCTGCGGTGCCTGAGAGCTGGGAGGAGCTGCTGAGGGATCTTGGGGACATGCATGTCACACTGATATGCAGGAGGCCCTGCAGGAGGGGCCACAAGGGGCATGGGAGCTCTTCCTTCTACCCTCTTTTGCCTCTCCTCTAGTCTGGCCTTCATCCCGCATCCCTGAGGCCCTGAGTCAATTCCAAGGGACTGAAAATCAGGAGGCCTGGGGGTGCACGGCTGTCACTGGGTACCTTCCAGAGCCTGAAGGTCATAGGGGACTCAAGGGGAGGCGGAGCAGTAGCAGGCACTGCAGAGGCAGAGGTGGGGCTGGAGGCTGAGCTCACCAGAGGGCTGGCACAGCTGTCCCTCCTGTACACACCTGGAGTCACAGCAGTGCAGCGTGCCCTTCCCTGGCCACCCAGGCAGACACTCACCTCCTTCTCTTGTCCTCATAGCACTGTGTTTGCCTCCCCACACTTCTCAGTCTAGACGAAAGATGGTCAAGGTGGGCGGGGCGCCCTCTCCCATCCCCCACTCCCTACTGGGGTGGCTCCTTGGGGATAGGCTTGCTTCTCCCTTATCTGTGGGTCCCCTGTGGAGGTTAGATAACTAAATGTTTGATGGGGTGCTCCGTTCAGGGGTGTGAAATGTAGCCCTTTCAAGGCTGGTAGTTTTGGGGGTGGGGAGGAAAGGCTAGATGTCTCTTGTCCTCTTACCTTTCCTGTGCTGCTTCTCTTGTATATGTTTAAGATACACAACATGGTGTTTTGATGTATGTGGTGGAGTGATTACTACAAACAGCAAATGAGTATATCTGTCATCTCAGCAGTTTCTGCCCGTCCTCCCTTCCTGCTTCTTCTTCTTTTTGCTTTTTGACAAGTTCTCACTATGTAGCCCCCAGGCTGGCCTTGAATTTAGAGTGATCCTCCTACCTCAATCTCTGGGTGCTGGGATTATAGGCATATGCCATCAAGTCTCTTGCTCCTCTATTTGTTTATTGGGGTACCAGGAATCGAACTCAGGACCTTGTGCCTGCTAGGCAGGCAGACAGGTACTGTGCCACTGAGTTATATCATTGGTCCCCTTTCTCCTCTTTTAAAAATCTCTTGGGGCTGGGGCTCAGCGTTATAAGCATCTGCCTTGCAAGCAGGCAGTCATGAGTTTGATCCCTGGTACTGAGAAAAAAAAAACCTCTCTCTTCTTTACTTTCCTTCTTGCCTTCTTTCCTCCCTCCCTCTTTTCAATTTCTCTCTTTATGGAATAATTAGTAGGTAATCTCTACTCTCTAAGCAAATTTGTCATGGATAAGGTCCAAGGAGGTCCCCCCAAGAGGAGATGGGGAGGTCAATTTGTGGTACCCTCATGGAGTAGGCTTTTTTTTTTAATTTTAAAGAGAAAAACAGAAAAGTCAAGAAGCAAAGAAACCTAAAACATAACAACAAAAACAAAATGACAACAGCAACAGCAACAACAAAAACCCCCCAACAATATCTACATAGGTTTTCAAAACAACAAGATAGGAATTTAACAATATACTCCATATAGTTATCTTCAAAATGGTTGCTCAGGCACCAGATACAGGAATAAAACAAAATAATAAAACAGAACAAAACATTGGATTTCTTTCTTTCTTTCTTTTTTAATATTGGATTTCAAAAACAAGACAGAGTCATTTGTGGACTGCACAGGGAGAGAACAAGGACTCATCAAGGAGCAAGCCCCGTCCCCAGGCGAACCAGTGCTAGAGGGACAGCCAGACCCCAGCCCCTCCTGATGTGTGGGCTGGCAGACAAGAAGAGCCAGTCCTCCACCCCGCAAAAGCCACTGGGTGACCCAGAGACACACAGGCTGTGATGACAGTTACTGAGGTGAAATGAAGTTGATGCTTGTGGTGTTTGGTGTTTCACTGACCTTGGGGGTCTGGGGCCAGTGGTCTGCTCATCGGTTCAGGGGATGGCGGTGTGCAGTGTGGCATCTGGGAGTGTGGATCTCCTTCTAGGGGTGGTGGCCATTGTTGTCTCCCTATTGTCTTGCTTTGTAGTCCTGTTTTACCTTTGTTGTTTGTTTGGGTTGGAATTTGTTCTCTTTTGTTTTGTTTGATTTTGCTATATCCGACGGTATGAACAGCTATTTCAAAGTTAGCAAGACATAGTATGGTAGCCATTTTGGATTCACTATTGTCTTGTTTTGAAGTCTTTTATTGCATTCATTGTTTTGTTTTTATTGGTTCTATTTTGTTCTGTTCTGTTTGATTTTTACTATGTCTGAAGCTATTTTGAAGACAACAAGAGGCATTATGGTAACTATTGTTGATTTTATATTGTTTTGAAGTCTTGTATCACTTACACTGGTTTGTTTTGATTGATTTTGCTCTATTTTCTTTTAAAGAAACCCCAAAATCAAAAACAACAATCCAGAAGGAAATCCCCCACAGCAACCGCAGTGCACACAGCCACCCTCCAGCCCCAAGCCTGCAGTCAGTGAAACGGCACAGGCATCCTGAGTCCTCTGAATCAGCCAGTCGCTCACTGGTGCTGGTGGTGGTGGGGACGTGCTCTTCTGGTCTCCCTGCCCCTACACCAGCTGCCTCACAGGAAGGCGCGGTTTACTTGCTCTCTGAGACTCTTCTCGATCCCTGTCTAGGAGCCTGGCTTGCAGGAAGGCATGGTTTCCAGACCCCCTGGAGTAGGTTCTTGAAAAATTAATTGCACCACTCTCAGTGAGAGATGTAGGCAAATTTAACAGCACTGTGTTCTTGGGGTGGTGATCTGTGGAACTGGTGAATTTATACTGCAGAAGAAAACATGGTCCCTACTTACAAACTTACTGTATCTTTAACTCGTAGAAATTCAGGAATGATAAGCTAGCAAAGAATAAAACAACACAGACCTAGAGGTGAAAGAAGGCATTATAACCTTCAGTAGCTGTGTTGGGAATTTTCTTAAAAGTACACTTTTAAAATTACAACCTCTTTGTCTCCTTTTTACCTTATCTCTTCTGTTCTGTCTAATTTCTATTATACAGTACTAGAGTGCTCCCGTATCCTCACCACTGTACTTTGGCTCTCTGTTTAGTCATCCTATATAACTTCAATTTTGTACCCTTTGATCTACTTTCCCCAACCATGCTCTACCACTCACTCATTGCTATGTGTTTAGTTTTTTAAAAATGGTTCCATATGTCAGTGAGATCATACAGTATTTTCCTTCTGTGTCTGTTTCATTTCACTTAGGATAAGGTCCTCCTTTACATTCATTCATACTGTCTCAAGTAGTTCGATATCCTTTTTATTTATTTTTTAGTCTCCCTATGCAGTGCAGGCTGGTTTTTTTTTTTTTTTTTTTTATTGGTACCGGGAATCGAACTCACGACCGCCTGCTTGCAAGACAGGTGCTTATGCTACTGAGCTAAATCCCCAGCCCTTGCAGGCTGGTTTTGAGCTCACTTCATAGCCCAGGCTGGTCTCGGACTTGCAATGATCCTCCAGCCACAACCTCCTGAGTGCTGGGATTACAGGCTTGTGCCACCATGCCTGGCATGATACCCTTTTTAAAGACTGAATTGCATTCCATTGTGTGATACCTCATTGTGGCTTTGATTTGCATTTCCTTGATGATGAGTGATGCTGAGCACTTTTCCACATACCTGTCTGTCATTTGAAATCTTCCTCTCTCATTTGTTTCTTTTTCCTTTCTTTCCAGCCTTCCTACCTCCACTGAAAGGTCCATTCTGGCTCTTCTAGTCTCTGCTCTAGGAAAAGATGACAGAAAGATGCAAACTGGATGGTAGTTTCAGATGTTCAAGGAACCTAGAGGTCCCCAGCTGCCCACCCAGCTATACTGATACTGGGACCTGCTCCCCATGTGGGTGGGGGTGGGGCAAATCCTTATGAGCTTGAAGAAGGATCAGTGTAGCCTGGGGGCCCAGGTGTGCAGACCCCCTGCCTCCTGCCTCCCAGACAGGACACCAGGGACCATCTTTGAAAACCTCGACATTGCAAATAGCAAAACAGGCTGAGAGAAGAAAAGAGCCACTCCTGGGCAAGACGAATCCTTGGGATGTCAGACATATACAAAACGCTTGTGTTACTATTCTCAAACTGTGAGCACCACAATTTAGTTTCCATAGTTATAAAGTAGGACAATAATAGTAGGGTCAATTCCGAAAAATGTTTGGAAAAATATTTTTTCCGCTCACATCTGTCAGTGATAGACACTGGCCTGTTCTTAGGTCCAACATGTTCTGGTCTCCTAATAAATCTGGCACCCACTAAACGTGCTGAGGTCAAGAAAGCTACGGATGAAAGGTTCTCAGGGCGATGGGTAACCTCCCTGAGGACAGTAAGTTCTCAATGAACCACTGTAAATATGTTGACTAGACACACACAGACATATTATACAAAGATGGGACAGTAGATGAAAAGTTGTTAAAGTTTAAAAAAAAAATTTGCTCCCCTCAACCCTCGGCTATTTATTGGGCACTTATTATGTGCCCAGGCTTACTTCAGAAATGAGTTAAAGTAGTGAACTACACAGCAAAGCTTTTGCTTTTATGGAGATTCTGGGTCTTTTTCACCTCTGATATTTTGATTTACACCTCCTCGGTTTCAGGATTCCCTAAACCAGGAGCCAAAGAATCAATTTCCCCTCATCCTAGTTCTCAGTTCCTTCCCTCTTTAATTTCCAACTCTGTGCTCTGGGGAAAATGCCAGGCTCCTCAGGAGCTGTGCCAAGGTCTCTGGATGCCAGAGATAGCCTGTTCCTCCCCCATCTTACCTTGCGGACCCACACTCTCAACCCTGAGGATACCTTGTGCAGAGCTCTGGGCTTTGTCAGGGAGGGGCCATCCTCTAAGTAGGGTTGGACTCACCCAGAGCAAATCATAGCTGAACTGCCTGTGCCCCTCTTACTTCACTTTTGGAAAATTCAGCCTCCCTTGAATTCCCCAGCCTCAATTTCAGGTGCCAGCCGAAACTTTCCTGAGATTTCCCAGTTGCGAGTTGTGTCTAATTGTTTGGGTTTCTAATCCCCAGGCCTCTGCTTTTGCTTGGACCTCAGGAGTGCAGTTCTGGCTCCTCTGAGCAGTGGAGCCTTGGCTGATAATCTCCAGGACTCCAGGCAAACCTGCTGAGACAGATGCACCCTGGGCTGATGCAGGGGGCTCAGGATGGACACAAGAAGACTGGCCTGGGCTGGGGATTTGGCTCAGTGGCGTAAGAGCCTGCCTGCCAAGCTCGAGGTCATAAGTTCAATCCCCAGGACAAAAGAAGAAGAAGAAGAAGAAGAAGAAGAAGAAGAAGAAGAAGGAAGAAGAAGAAGAAGAAGAAGAAGAAGAAGAAGAAGAAGAAGAAGAAGAAGAAGAAGAAGACCTGGCCTTTAGCTCTGTGTCTGCCACCTGCTTGCTGTGTGAAATCACTGTCCGTCTCTGAGCTCAGTTTGCTTCTTTGTTCATCCATGCAACCAGCCTTGTGACTATTCTCCATGTTTTATTGGGTGAGGTCTCAGTCCTCAGCTGAGCATTTATGGCTCTTCACAGCCACAGCCA